AAACTTTTGAACTATTTTTGCTTAAATTAATTTTTTGATGATAATTGATGGGCCCAATTCACTAATTTTTACGCTCTTTTGTATAGTTTTTTCCTGAAAAACATGCAAAAAACGACACTCATTTAAAAAAAACTGTTTTTTTTTGTAGTTTTTCATGAATGTGCTCGGAGTTTGATGAATGTGCTCGGAGTCTTCCACAGTAACCAGCTATCCTTGTTTCCGTTACAAATTCAATCTTCTACCTTATCATTTTCATATCTATTTTAACTTACTTTTTTTTCTTTTTTTTCAAATCAGTTCTTGGTAAATTCCTTCAAAAAACTCAGTTGCAAAAACAGACGTTACCTAGAAAGACCGAGAAAAAATTTTCTTCAATTGTCCCAAACTTAATTAGTTTTTGAATAATCGACTAAAATAGATAGCTTTTCCATCTCTAAAATTGATACATGCTCTCATTTTTTTTTATTTTCAGTAGAAAATGTTTTTGACCTCGAAGAAACAGTTTTTTTTTGTAATTGAATCTCATAAGAACCTCTGTTTTCTTTTCATGTGCATATTTCTTTCAAGGTATTAGAAGTAGGAAAATAAAATGAGCCTATTTTTGCACCACTATCTGATTGAATTATTTTTAGTCACGCCACGAAATCTCTCAAAAATCAAATCTGATTACTTTCGGTTCAAAGGCATAATTTAATGAAGCGCGACGTCACGCCATATCTGACGCAACAAATTATTCACATTTGTGAAAGAAAAAAAGTAATGAATTTTGCGCATTGCACTCTTTACGGCATCTCTCAGGTTTGGTCATTAATCAGTTAATCATTTTATGCTGAGTTAAATCGGTAATTTCTTTGGTTCAAAATTTGAGCTCGTTAATTGAAAAAACTCTGGCAACTTAACTGTTAAATGTTTAAAATGCTCTGTTGACGATTTCTTTCTAAAGAGTCATTTTTTTTCAATTAAAAAAAGTGGCAAAATATTTGCATAAAAGCGATTAACCCCTACCTATACTTGCTTAGAATCATTAGTGGAACTATCAGAAAAAAATTCTTTTCAAAGGTTTACAGTTGGGCGATGTTTGTCATATAATGGCTTCTTTTGTTAAGGGTTTCAAAAAAACCAGGATCAAACCGATTAAGCCTTCTGTTTTGCTTTGTAATTCCAGATTTAGGACGTCTTCTCAAGCTGCTTTTTCTGGTTTTAATCTCTTTTAAGAAATCTTCTTAAGTTGCGTTTTCTGATTGCCTTACCTGCGATGACTAGGAGGCGATTGACAATAACACACTGCATGCCACATAGGGTAGCAGGACAACAACACCTGAACAGAAACTATGGCTGATTCAGGATAACACTGTCCTGTAATTCATTATCGGATAACAATTCAATTAAAAAAATTAAATTTGAAAATAATTTTAGTTTAAATCTTGAGCTTTTTTATCGATTGTCGTGCATACATAAAACTTTAATAAAATGATTTATTTTGCATAATTTTTTTGATAAGTTGTATCAAAAAGCTTTATTAAGTCAAATAATCGTTTGACATTAGTTTTATTTTATTATGCAATTTAATTTTTGTGACTATTTTCTGGCTTCATACTTTGAAGTCATCTGCTTCATTTATTTTTCGATTTTTTTCGATACACTTGCCACAAAACCCCGTTACAAAATATTGCGTAAGATAGTAAGGATTTTTTTACTAACCACATGCAGGTCTCAAACATGATGGAAATGAAGACGACAATAATGAACACGGATACGACTGTCATTGCAATGTCCAGGTGGAATCTGTCCAACAGGAACACCACTTTGTCAAACTTGTTCAACACCACTCCCATAACGACACAGATTATGGCCAAGAAAATGACAATGAGGACCAGGAGAAAAAACGACACCACGCAAGACACTAGGTGTTTATTTTCTTCTCCCGTACACTATTGGTTCG